GCTTGGCGTGACACATAGGCGTGTGTGTGTGTGTGTGTGTGCAGAGAGCCGTGTTTGAGCAACAACGCCTTGAAGGACCAGGGCGGCAACTGGGACACCTCCCAGTGGCAGCCACTCATAGAGGACAAAGCCTTCCTGCCCTGGCTCGTCAAGGTACCCATACACACACACACACACTTACACACACACACACGTCGTGTCTGTCTGCCTGTGCTGTGTTGTGTTGTGTTGTGTGTGTCAGGTGCCTGAGGAGAAGGAGACGCGTCGGTGCCGCCCTGTGAGTGCCGAGCAGATCAACCGCATCGAGGAGCTGTGGAAGACCAACCCCAACGCCAAGCTGGAGGACCTAGACAAACCTGGCGTCGACAACGAGCCACAGCCCGTCTCGCTCAAGTCAGCACACACACACGGAGAGAGAGGTGTGGGCATGATTCTGTGTTGTCATGTGTGTGTGATTGTGCCGTGCCAACCACCAGGTACAAGGACGTCTACGAGTACCACGGCACCTTCACGCCCCTCATCCAACTCGAGGCAGACTACGACAGACAGATCAAGGAGTCGCAGACTCAGGTGGGGTGGGTGGGTCGGTGGGCTGGGGATGGGTCGGTGGGTCGGTGCGTCAGTCAGTCACTGTGTGTGTGTGTGTGTGTGTGCAGACGAACATCAGTGTGCGTTGGGATGTGGCTTTGAATCGCCGCCGCACGGCCATCTTTATGTTCCCCAAGGACGAGGCCGACGTGCGACTCGTCGTCGGCGACGAAATCAGAATCAAATACACCTACGACGGTGCGCACACACGCACAGCTGGATGGATGGATGGATGGGGGATGGTGGGCGATGGTGTGTGTGGTGTGTGTCAGGTGGGCAGGAGTGGAAGCAGGAGGGGCACGTCAAGACGATCACGCCGCAGGAGGAGGTCGTCCTCGAGCTCAGGGGGGCCGTCAACCAATCGGTGGGAACGAACACACACAGCTTACGTAAGCACACCGATGGATGGATGGATGTGTGTGTGTGTGTGTGTGTGTCCGTGTGCATTCGATGTGTTGTGTTGAACAGGGTCCGTGGGAGCGCAACATCACACAGCACTACGGCGTCGAGTTCGTCTGGAAATCCGTCGCCTTCGACAGGTAGGTGGGTATACGTGAGCCGCCCACCCTCCCAACTCAACTCAACTCAACTCAACTCACACAAACTCCCACTTGGGTCCCTCCGCCCATCTGTCTGTCTGTCGCTCAGGATGAAGGCAGCGCTGACCCGTTTGGCTACTGACGAGACCTCCGTGGGCGGCTACCTCTTCCACAAACTCCTAGGCAATGACGATATCGAGGAACAGACCATCAGGTACCAATGGCCGAGAGAAGAACACTCTGGCATCCACGATGGCAGCCGTGCACACGTGTGTGTGTTGTCAGGGCGACGCTGCCGCGCAACTTCTCTGCGCCGGGTTTGGCTGAGCTGAACCACTCGCAGATCTACGCCGTGAGGAAGGCGCTGCAGTCGCCTTTGTGCCTCATCCAGGGGCCGCCCGGGACGGGCAAGACCGTCACCTCAGCCACCATCGTGTACCACCTCTGCAAACAGGGCCAGGTCGGTGGGTGTCTGAGTGGGTGGACTCCCGGAGTCCTATGTGGGTGGCTACGGGTCATCTGACTCTCTCTCTGTGTGTGTGTGTGTGTGTCTGTCTATGGCATCAGGGTCAGGTGTTGGTATGTGCGCCGTCGAACGTCGCCGTGGACCAGCTGGCGGAAAGGCTGCATCACACAGGCCTCAAGGTGGGTGAGCCTTTCCCACCCACAACACAACACACGCTGAAGACCATCCATCCATCCATCCATCTGTGTGTGTGTGTGTGTGTGTGTGTATGTCCCCCTCCCCCTCCGCACAGGTGATCCGGATGTACGCCCGCAGCCGTGAGGACGTGCAGTCGTCCGTCGAGCATCTCGCCCTGCACAAGCAGATCCGTTGTGTGACCGAGGCCGGCGGCGGCGGCCACCAGAAGGAACTCCTTAACCTGCTCGAGCTCAAGGTACACATGCACACACACACACACGCACACACGTGTGTGTGTCATCTGTCTGTCTGTATCTTTGGTGGATGGATGGGGTGGGATGGATGACGCCATGCACTGCATTCGATGTATTATAGGATGAGGTGGGCGAGTTGGACAACGAGGACGAGCGGAAGCTCAAGAAGCTGCGTGGACAGCTGGAGAACGAACTCCTCACCGCCGCAGACGTCATCTGCTGCACATGCATCGGCGCCGCAGACGCACGACTCAGCAAATTCAGATTCAGACAGGTCAGCCTGTCAAGTCACCACACCCATCCATCCATTTGTGTGTGTCCGTGTGTGGTGTGGGTGCATCCATCGGTGCGTCGATCTATCTGACTGATCAGGTGTTGATTGACGAGGCGACCCAGGCGATGGAGACCGAGTGTCTGGTGCCGATCGTTATGGGCGCCAAGCAGGTGGTCCTCGTGGGCGACCACTGCCAGCTCGGGCCGGTCGTCCTCTGCAAAAAGTCCGCCAAGGCCGGCCTCTCGCAGTCACTCTTTGAGCGACTCATCTACCTCGGCAACAGACCTATCAGACTCGAGGTAACTTTGTCACCACACACACACACAGAGAGAGGGAGGGGGTGCAGACACGTGTGTGTGTGTGTGTGTGTGGCTGTGGTTGTGTGGTGTGACATCATCAGATTCAGTACCGGATGCATCCCTGCCTGAGTGAGTTCCCATCGCAGTCCTTCTACGACGGCTCTTTGCAGAACGGCGTCACGCTCAGCGAGCGCATCTACGAGGGCCTCGACTTCCCCTGGCCAAAGTAGCGCTCACACCCAACACCCACACACAACACTCGAACCGACCAGAGCAGAGCAACACGGGCCTTCTCTCTCTCTCTTTCTGTGTGTGTGTGTGTGTGTTCAGCAAGGAGATGCCGATGTTTTTCTACAACAGCACCGGCCACGAGGAGATCAGCGCCAGCGGCACGTCCTTCCTCAACCGCACCGAGGCCACACACATCGAAAAACTCGTCACCTACTTCCTCAAATGCGGCCTAAAGTAACCTAACCATCACACAGATGCGACGATTGGCAACGAATGACTGCGTCGGTCTTCTCTTTCTTGTCTGCACACGCACATACGCAGGGCGAGCCAGATCGGCGTCATCACGCCCTACGAGGGCCAGCGGTCGTACATCGCTGCGGTGCTGCAGCGGCCGTCGTCGTCGATCAGCAAGGAGCTGTACAAGGACATCGAGGTGGCCTCTGTCGACGCATTCCAGGGGCGGGAGAAGGACTTTGTCCTACTCTCATGCGTCAGGTCCAACCAGAACCAAGGTAAGGTGCCCCCCC